AGATACTTAATGGAGAGACACTAAGTTTTTATATTTTTTATAAAAGAATCCGCAGTCTAGTAATGAAACGTAATAATTATGACTGTATTATATAAAATCCGGTAGGTGTCATAGCCTGAAAAATGTAACAATTGATGTACAATTTATGAATTACTTTTTAAAGATGTACATTTTTATGGGACTATAGTGAGTGCGTATGTTTTCCTGACTTTCATTCATATGAATGCATGGGAGCGGCTCTAGTTAAAATCGAGTGGGTTTTACGGTAGTGAGTGATGACGTGTAATACAAGTATAACGAAACAATAAAGTATCAATCGCATACAATGAAAGTAATCAATGAATATAATGCACATCGTTATAAAAAGTGGAAGTTCATGTTCTACCTAAAACGGAGATAGTACGAGTGAATAAAAATTGATGTACATATCAAAGACATGTATAAAAATTTTGATATACAACTTGAGTCAATGACTTTTAATCCGTTTCAGGACAAGACCTGAAAACAGTAATAAATATATGCCTAATTTTTTTAATGCTCGATTAGCATGTTTGATTAAATACTAACAGATTTTCTATAATTGTCTAAAGATCAATAAAGTCAATACCGAAAAATGTTAGAAAAGTCATGTGACTACCCCGGCCTCTTAATTGATTGTAGAATATGAACTGTGCAAATGATGCAAGGAAATAATCAGTAAATCAATCAGTGCTTAACGTGTAGAAGCATATCTAGGTAGAAGAAAGAGTGGAGAAGCATAAACACGATAAGATCCTCTCGTACATCGGTTCTACTGAGTAAAAGTAGTTAGACATCGTTTAAATGCTTGTAGTATGATAACAACATACTCTGTAGTTTCAGATACTTAATGGAGAGACACTAAGTTCCACTGCATTCCTATTTCCTGACACGTACTTTAGGATTAACGTAAAGCTTAAAATTTGAGGTGCTACGAGATTATGTCGGCAGTCAGAAAAATAGAACAGATTGATTCATTGGATAGAAATCTTGCATGTTTTATTTCGTTATTAACATATATAATATTATGTACATAGTTAAGATTATTTCATTATTATTCATTCTCAAAATATCTTTTTACTTGATATTAGAGATTGACTATTAAGAATAATAAATTCAATGAATGATGGAAGTTAGATTATGGATCACCATGCGAATCAGTATTTCGTGCCTCTTCATGATACTTTGTAAACACGAAAAACTTGACTTCCCATTAGAGTAACACTTTTTAGAACCTTTAAGAATCTCACGGGTGTTCCCTTTTCCTTCGTGGAGAATCGACATCCAGTAATGCGTGGGTGGCAAAGTTTGGAAAGAGCTTCTCCAACTTCGGCTTCGTTCGTTTAGCAGATCATAAATCGTATTTCAAAGCAGAGCGTGACAGTTGAAACATTCTTCAAAGATTATGCTCAAGTAACTTCTGGTAAAGTTCATATTCTTATCTGCTCTCTACATTTCTATTAGTCTGCATTCTTTTCTCTCTTCTCATAACTATTACTCTATTTTAAAATAAATGTTATTTTCCATATAAATTTCATGTTCAATTTGTTAACAAATTCATATCATCAGAGAAGCTGAAACATCGATTTATAAAAAGATCCTATCACCAATGGTGTACAATAGAAAAATTTATAGAGCACACTGGTACACGTCGAAACGTTTCCCCTCCATTCGTTAGCCACGTTCGCGATCGGTTTGATCATGAATAGAACAATTTCTCATAGGACAATGAGCTCGTAACCAGTTAAACGAACCGTAAACATGAGTCATAGTACTCGATCTCTCTTATCCTACGTACGCCCTTCCGTAGCATGTATTTACGCGCCGCCTCGATATATTTTAGTGCCATTAGTATTTCTGATGATTCAGTCGACCGAGTATTGGGATAATTCATGACAATGGAATTATCGTGCGAGATTTTCCATGAAAGTAAATCATTTTCCAAGTAAGATGAACAACGTGTATACTTCGATCCAACAAGAAAGTAAATTGATTCGTTACATAGAAATCTTACATGTACGTAATACATAATGTTATGTACATAGTCAATATTTCTTCGTTACTATTTATTCTCAAAATATCTTTTTACTCGACATTGAAGATTGACTATTAAGAATAATAGATTCAATGAATGGTGGAATTTAGCTTATTGATCACCATGCGAATTAATATTTCGTGGTTATTTATGATATTTTGCAAACAAGAAAATTGACTTAACATTTTAGCACTATGAACCAAAATATATACATACTATGTCATATATGTATGGTGTTATATAATATATATATGTATATACACATATACATATACATATTGTGTTCACACTCACGCATTACGGCTGAACGTTTATGGCAGTGGCTGAGGACCGGCAGAATCACTGACAATGAGATTATACTACGTTGCATTATACCCATCGTGTAAATGTCAGTATCGGAATAGTAAATGATCTAGTAGGAAGTAGCACTATTTTGCATATACATATCTGCGAACGTGTTAGAAATAATTTATTCGACGTCTAACATTGTTAAAAAAAAAGTTTTACTACTTCTTCGTGATAGTTGCTATGCGACTATAATCCAGCAAGTTTATTCGCACCTTAATGTGGTTATCACGGTTGCCTATAAAGTCGTCTATGAATTATGTATTTGCAATATGCATGAATTATTACCGTTAGGTGTTCCTCCTTCGTTCATATAGAATTCTTGTAAAAATCTACTCAGAGTTATAATACTTACTTTTCGATTCAGAGATTATCTATTTATATTTTCACGGTACTGTAATATCAACTTCTATTAGGAATTACGATTTTGCCCGTACAAATCGGATTACAACTTTCGCATACGCAATAGCGTAATGAATCAGAGAAAATCCGATACACCTAATGCACTTAACAATGCCGATCGCAATTCTACGAGTTATACAATTACATCTTATTGTCCCGATCTCCTAGCCGTTGATCAACCTCGTAAAAGCGTAATATATAACTCGGCTCGTTGAACCTTATCAGTGATAGTACAAACATTTCAATGCTTAAGTGCAAAGAATGTATAATTTGTATCTGTAATGCTTTATACACGTGCCTAATTTTGAAATTAAAAGTAATCGAACTATAATCAAACTAAGATGTTATTCTTATTATTTATTTTCAGCTTATTCTTTTATGTATTTTCAAAGTGTTCATTTTTATAATTTATTTTTATACATTAACTCAAGTGGGTCACTTGAAATTATCAAATGCGTCACTCGGTGCCCCGCGGGTCATAGGTTGCCGACGCCTGCAATAGAGCATAAATTCCATACAACAACATTAACAATATATGATAGAGTGCAATAATAAAATATATATACTTGATTTACAATCCCATAAATACTGCTCGCTGAATTTAGTAAACCGATCATTCAGCATGATTAATTAATCATGGTAGTGAACTTGATGGATGATTTTAACCCGACAGATTCAATCTACGGAAAGAAACGACGTTTAGCTCGAGCCTAATGCTAAGAGTTGCTACCGCGCGAGCAATCCGGTAAACGGATCATGAGCGTGCATAAAAGCTCCAGGAAAGGAGTAAGATCTGAGGTAGCTGAGGTTATTGTAGGTATTGTGTGTTGTGTCGCGTCTCGGCTGCTGGCTGGCCTGTTTCGCTCCCTTTCTCTGGCCGAGTCTGCTCTCTCCGGGGACTTAAGCCCGCCGCGAGTGACTGATGACGACAGAAATAACCCTGTGTTCCATCTTTCTGGCGGCCGCACGTGTCCACGTTCGTGAGCAAACCTACGCAACGTCGTGCGTCGCGCCGCGTCGCGTCCTGGTCGTGGTCGCTGCGACCAACACGACGGATACGAAGGAAGGAGACGAGCGTATGCGTTGGCCAGACCGCGTGATTTGCATGAGAGAAGAGCCAACAGGATGCCGATGAACGCGCCGAAACGCGAGCGGAAATCAATCGTAATGGAGACTTGATTAATTCGAATAGTAGAATCAAATTTTATTTTCTTATTTAGGACTTAAAGTTGCATCAATGTCTAAGTTCATTAACGACTACTAGGTGATCAACCATCGAATTTTAATACTAGACTACCGATTTTTCTCATATATGTCTTCTTTATTCAAAAGCACTCATTTTAACTGGTGTGGTAATTCTAGTGTTAAATAAGATTTATGAATCCAAACAAAATCATTGTAGCTGAATTGTGTTCATTAAGGGCTTCTTTTGGTAAGTCTGTTGGTATTTTGAATGAATTGGTCAATGATAAATTTGATGAACGATTGAAAATACGAAAATGTGGTTGATGAAATCAATAATACGAAACTGATAAAGGAGGACTGAGGCACGCATCGAGACATGCCTTGATGTTACCATTTCTGAAATGTCCTGTACATTGAACTTGATCTCATCGCTGGCCGCGGTCGTGAATCATTCGAGGCTGCGATCACTCGTCACGTTCCTTTGACGCGGGGTGCGCGTGTCGATTACGCGCGTTTAACCTGTTCAGATGTCCGGCCAGGGAGTAGTCGGGGATACCCGATGAACCTGTTCATCGGTGCACGTTCCGTCGCGCTGCTGCGTCTCTCGGCTCGCGAGACGGGCAACTCGTTTTGTCGTTGCCCGCCGCGTGTACGACTGGTTCCGTGCTGAGACTTCTGTCAAAACCTGTCGATGCATGTATCCCTGGGAAATTACGATCGCTTGTTGTTGTTGCTGCTGCTGCTGCCTCCGGCTGGATTTACTTCTAACACGTTTTAATGGACATAGCAAGTTCCTTTCCTGATCGTAAAACTGTGTTGTTATAAAATTCTCATGAGTATTGACCCTCAGCGATACAGTTCAATATTATTTGAAAGATTTGTTAATTTCTTTAATTTATTTCGTTACTTGAGAATCACATAGAAATCTTCAAAACTCCTCAGAATTCTTCGAATCATATTCCTTTATGAAAATATGTCTCTTTTACCTGATCCGCATTTATTATTTAAATTTCAGGTCAGCTGATGTATGGAATGAACAAGAGTTTGAAAAATAGCGGCCTGTTTCCATCGACCTTCAACGTGGCTGCGAAGGCAAACGTTTTCGTGAACGCTACCTGCGGCGAAGACGCACCGGAAACCTTTTGCAAACCTTCGGAATCGTCGAGGTGCGCGGTTTGTGACGCCAGGAGTCCCGATCCCGGGAAGAGGCACAACGTCAGTAATATACTAGACTCGAGTCCTGGGAAATGGTGGCAGAGCCCGACTCTCGCCAAAGGAGATCGCTACGAGTACGTGACTATAGTTTTGGACCTGAAGCAGGTAAGGAAATTTTGTATTCGTTTCTCTTCACTCATTCAGTCCCATACGTATCAAGAATTTGATGTATTCCATGTTATTTGGATGATAAAAAATTGGATGTGCATTTTTTATTTTGGAAGGTGGAATAAATGAAAAGCGAAAGACGTTTCGTTATTCGAGGGAGTCGATGCTTTATCCTAAACGGTTTACTCTCGCGTTTGACTTTCCTCCGGGCGAAACAGAAGTGCTTTTACATTGCGTCGCCATTAAAGGATCGTGTAGTGGCGCACGCGGGCGCAGGAGAAAAAGGTGGGATCCCTCGTTCGTTTCGAAAAACCGTAAGGTGGCTTTTTCCCGCTCGTTAGACTCGTTTCTCGCATTGTGCCCGGGCTGGCTACGAATTTATGTCCCTCGACGATGTCGCGGCAGAAGGTCGGGTGAAAAGGGGGTCAGGAAAGAACGGAAATGCCGCGGCTGGCGAAAGAGAGGGCGATTACGCGGTACGGGGCGAACAGAGATAGAGAGATAGAGGGGGAGAGAACGTGAACGTGGCTAACTTTCTGGCCCCTTTCTCGGAATTTCGCATGCAGCGAGCGCCGGTTAGGTACCTGTACTACCTGAAGGAGGAGCGGTCGCCGAGCAAATTGCGAGCAACGCCGGCGAAAAACGCTTTAACGAGGTAGGGCGGCCCTTTTTCTAAACGTTCCCTTCGTAATAAGGATGCGGAATGATTAAGAGGAAGGAAAGAACCCGAACGTTCTCGAGGCTTACGATATTTTTCCGTTAACTCTTTCCTACTTGAATTTCTTTCAACAAATTATACCTTAGACTCCGAATTTTTATGCAAAGTAGAACATTTGCGTTGTCGATTTAAAAAATGAAAGCTAGACCGAAAATTTCTTTTACTTTCCAAAAATATTTATTAAGTAAAACCCATTGAGCACTCAATAAAAATCATTTCAGTAATAGAACAAATTGAAAATTAAATATAAAATACGAAGCTAAGATAACATGTGCAAAATGTAACAATGAAAGTGAGTGTGATATAATACTATTGTAGATGAATTGGATAGTGAGAATAATTCATTTGGAGAAAAAGGTAATGATTAGACTGGGCATCTTTATGCAAAGTAAACCATTTGTAGTGCTAATGTAGAAAATGAAATCTATATAAATAGGAATTTCTTTTGTATTTTAAAATTTAGAATTTTTATTTAATTTTTTATATTTTGTATATCCTTGGATATTGAATGAATTTCTTATAATTCCTGTACATCATATTTTTTTATAAATGTATAAAATCCGCAGTCTACTTATTTTCTAAAAATTATCAAAATTATATATACTCGTCTAATCTCCAAGATTCTTATTTTATCAAATTAGATAAATATCCTAATTAATACTGTATAATATTTATCAACTGTTAATCATATAAAAATCTCATAATGGACAGTGTCGTTTAAGTTGCACAAATTCGTATACATTTTATCGGTAATTTGTTCCCCTTACTGGTGTTGTTCTCATCAGAATTGGTGCCGTGGATGATGCTCGTTAAAGGCGAAACCGTTCGGAACCGTCATAATTGTGGCCATCGTTTTAACATGTTATTAATCACAGTAATCACACAAACCCTTAATCAACGTATAATCACTCGGAATAGCCACACAGTTTTAAGAATGTATCTATACTGCTCATTTTAGTCTTTTACAATTCTTTATTTTTAAGAGTGTTTATCCTTAAAATAACGTTTAGTCCCGAGCCACAAGCACGTTGTTCTTATTTCTTTAGGAACTTTTCTCTTCACTTTCAATTATCAAACTAATGGCTCTTGATTTAGAATTTAAATTAGTTTTATTTATAGGTAAAAATAGACACATTTCTCTGCTTCATCCTATTATTAAAGAGCACAGGTATTAAATATTAAAAGGTGCAACGAGGGTGAATCTCTATATATCATCGAATCTTTGATCTGGCTGTCAGACCATTTTATGAAGCGGCCCTGCGTAAGCGGAACTCGTAGAGATATTTTTAAATTACGGTCCACGGATATCGAGAGTGATTATGCTAATCAGCGGATAAGCAAACCGCGGCGACCGTATTTATGATCCTCGTTAACGTTCATTGCGCTTTATTAATTTTACGAGCGGCTCGTCGTTTGTTGTTCCTGATTGTTTTCTTTCGTCTGGTCGCGAGCTAACGTCGAACCACTTCAACCAATATGATTGTTTAATTTCACGCGAAATGAAGTTCGAATATTGCATATTTTGAGATCGTTAAATTATTATTAAAGTAGTTCTTGCTCTACTATATTAGTCATAAGCCTAAGGGGCTAGGGTAAACACGTGTCTTCTCTAACAGTCGTCATTGATGTTTTTTGCTCCGTTTTATCGATGACCAGGAAAAAACAGTGCAAAATATGGATGTACGGCTCTACAGTTTTCATCCTTGTATAAGAAGCTTCTTAGATCGTCAAGTATCTCTTTAAAAAACAAAAATTAAATCTGGCTTTCATTCAAAATAATCTCTCGTTGATATAAAATTGCTTATAAGCCATTACAACTATGATTTTTCATCTTTTTTGTAATATGCCAGATTAAACTGTTCTCTTTTCAAAGTACCTGATGACCCAAAATTCTTCACATATAAAAACTTTTTTCTTAGAGACTGTATTCTTCCGCAAAAGCAGCGACAAACAAACAGATCTTTAATCTTAATATATTTGCGGACCGCCCGACATTCCATGCATTTCGCTCGAGTCGGTCGTTCATTTTAAATTTAACTTCTGTTTGGGCTACTGATTGGCATGACGGCACACACCGGGAGATCCAAGCCTCGCCGCGCCGCGCCGCCCACGCACGCGGCCACCGCCAGTGAAATGAATTAATTTGTTCCTACCTAAAATGGCCATCCTGATGGACTGTCTATTATCTGCCCTGGGAACGGCCAGCCGGATGATACATAAGTATTGCACAATCATTGTCAGTTCCAAAGAAACGTGGGACGTTTCATTACAGAAATGTGCGACTCCTTTTGTAATAGTGTCAGAGTTAAATAATTATTTTAATGTAAAAACATGAACCAGGCGTATCTATTAACAGGCGTAATTAACAAAACTTATTGCAGAATAAATAATCCATAAAAATATTCTGTGAGAAATAGTATGTACAGTTAATTAAAAAACGATGTATAAAGGAATTTACACATAATCCCATTATGGTGTCAAGCAGCTGAAAATGTGATAAACAGGGCAGAATAGACAGGCGGGACATCATAGAATGAATTTCTCGGTATAAGAAAGACTTCCAAAAAGCTGTAGCCCTGTGGGTGTAGGGAAACTGAAAAGAAGCGGTACTCGATTTGGAATGCCATGGAAAATCCTCCATTATTCGAGGATTAAAGAGTCGGAGTATACAGACATACGATGTCTTTAATGCCTCGTGTCCAGGAATGCCCTTTTTTAATAATATAATCCTGAATATTAAAAGACAGTGAAAGTTTATTTTTGAGTTAGTTTAAGTTTATTTCAATATTGAGTGCAAGATAAATAATACAGTCTTTCAAGGATTAGTCAGTTTTGAAAAAATATTCAAATACTTCAGGTATACTTTGGTAAATAATTAAGGTATACGATCTCTTTATATAAATTTACTTACTGCTTTATGTCCAAGGATGATAATTTTTAATAATATAAAACTCGAATATTAAGAGATATAATTAATAGATAGAGAATGAATGATACAGTCTTTTAATGATTAAAAGCCAATTTTCAGAAGCTATTGAAATACTTTTACCAAGGTTTCTTATTATAATTAATTATATTTATTAACGCACATTTAAGATTATAAAAATTTCAATATTAAGTATCGAAGATTCAGTATTGAAATATTGATTCTGAAAATCGAAAATATGACAACCCTGCTGATCTCTTCTTGAGACCGACCGATCGTTTTCGAACCGTTGAATGAATCATCTTCCTCGTTCGGGACGAAGAATGGATAAAGACGAAGTCAGGTAAATAATAGCCCGTGGGGTAGAGGAGATCGCTTGTCAAGCGGGTCAAGTTTGCTCGTTTTTCGACCGGATGATGCGGCCTGTAACGCGAGCGACGAGCCCTTCCTTTATCAGGTGATCGCGGATCCTTGTGCGAACCGTGTCTACCGCAGCGTGATGTCAAGGCCCGAGTTTCAAACCCCGGGGTATTGAACCCATCCTCTCCTAGTTAGGAATTTTCATTAAATTCAGATTCAACTCAAAATCGAATAATTGATACATGACTACATCTTTTTATTTATTAAACGAGCTAAAAGTCCATTTATAGACACGAGAAATCATCAGCAGAAGTATCATACATCAAACAGAAATGTTAGTAAAGGGAATCATATATCGAGTTATGAGAGCCAATAGTTTATTTGCATATGACAATACAATGATACAAAATTATTACAAAATAAATAAATTCAATAGTATGGCAATCAGGAAGTTGCCATCAAACAATAATTAAAGATAAGATAATACTTCAGTACTTTTAGTAGCTCTAATCTTTTTCCATATTGCAGTCAGAGGAATTAAAATATAAATGAATCTAATGTATTTGTTATATACAGGATGTCTCACGCAAGTTGTCCACTCTGAATAACTTCTAAAGCATGCATTACAGAAGAACGTTTTTTATAGAGAAGTCGTATGGTTATATTTATTATGGTCGTACATATATTTTTTGTAAATGTAGGCATTCGCAGATTTCAAGTTCAACATCGTTCTTTTAAATAGAATGCTATATTTTTTTATGCCAAAATACAGAACGGCGTTAAATTCTAATTTTATTTATTCGTAAATCGGGGAAAAATTATTTAAACTTTTCAGTCGTCTGAATTTTTTAAACCGAAATACATGTCCGCGTTGGTAAAAGCGAATCGCATTACATACCCCGGTGGTGTTGATCCCTAATGGGTTAAGAGGCTGGACGACCGCGATGCGGCGGGTTCTTTGATTCCGGCCGGTGCTCTCAGACACCGTGGCAC